TTTTCAAATTATTTTTATTGAAACAAATGATAAGATAATACCAATAAAGAATACAGTTCCCTTTTTTGGGGGGGGGATAATACTTGTGCAGGTATAACTTCTAATATATAAATACAAGTATAAATGTTGAAGTAGTCACACCTACTACATATACAAAAAACAAAAACAAAACAAAATAAGAACAATAAAAGAAGAGAACAACACACCCCATTCCTTATTTGGCCTTTTAACAAAATATGTAAAAAGAAAAAACAAAATTACATTTTTGATATTAATAATTTATTACTATGCGATAAGTCAAGTTTATTTTTTGTGTCGTCTTCTGCCCCCTGTTATCAGGTGTATCTGATTGTGTACAATAGGATTTTGAGCAAAGTTTTTACCATTAAATTATGCAAAAGGTGTCAGACGCAAAACATTTCAGAAAGCGTATGTATCAAATATGATACATTTGGCATTACAGGGCTAAAGGGGAAAAAATCACCACAAACAGTTTTTTTTTGTTTTTTTTACACAAAATATTCGTCCGACAATTGTTCAGCTCCAAAATGTAACTGGAAAAAGTTGCTCAAAGGCTTAAGGGAAATCATCCTGGCATTGTTTTTCTGAGCGGAAACAGCTCTGGAAAAAGTTCCAATGGGGCTCCAATGTGATGCATTTTTTAGGGCTGATATTTTGCCTCAATTATGGCTTCTAAATGGAAACGTGGAAAGTGAGAGTTGGGCCAGTGTCCGACCTTTTGCTGCCACCTAAACCACCACAAAAGAAGAAACATTTAATGTGACCTTTTCAATGGGAGCCTAGTTCTTCTCCACTAGATCTGTCCACGCCCCCAGTTCAGAGGATAAAAATATAGTTTGTTTTAGCCGGTAAAAGCTCTAAAGTATGTCCACTCTGCTTGCCTGCTGTGTGGGGATATTCTGCCCCAGTGAACTCATTTTAACCCTATAATGTCAAATGTATCATATTTGATACATACGGTTTCTGAAATGTTTTGCGTCTGACACCTTTTGCATAATTTAATGGTAAAAACTTTGCTCAAAATCCTATTGTACACAATCAGATACACCTGATAACAGGGGGCAGAAGACTACACAAAAAATAATCTTGACTTATCGCATAGTAATAAATTATTAATATTAAAATTTTATTTTTGTTGTTTCTTTTTACATATTTTGTTAAAAGGCCAAATAAGGAATTCAGACAAAAAAAAAGTAATTTTCTGTTTTGTTTTATTCTTGGATCAGGCTTTAAAGGGTTAAAGGAGCTCATTTTGGGTCCCTCCACAGCAGGAGGGAGCTGAAATGGGCTCAGTGCCGCCCCCTGGAGGTGGGTCAGTGAAAAACAGTTTTGGATGGGCAGTTTTCCAAGCAAATCAAGTTTTAGGGGAGGGTAAAATGGCAATGGTAACATGGTTTCCCCTCGTGTGTGTGTGTGTGTGTGTGTGTGTGTGTGTTACAGGCGGTGGGCCTGCTGAAAAAAGGGGGGGTCCTGGTGTACAGCACCTGCACGGTGACTCTGGGCGAGAACGAGGAGCAGGTGGCCTGGGCCCTGCGCACCTTCCCCTGCCTCTCGCTGCAGCCTCAGGTAAGACCCCCCCCCCCCCCCCCCCCCCCCCCCC